TAGTTATAGTCATCCAAGGATTAAGGGAGCCATAGCTCCCAGAACTGTCTGTGGAAGAACAATGTTAGGAGTGTCTCAGGAGAATGAGATGGATGTTATATTATGTTGGCCACACATAAGCTAAGGAAGAATTTATAAGTTGGCAATTCCATTCATGTACCCACATGGTCACCTGGCAGCTATTATTGAGCTCCTACTATGTGTCAGGAATTACTGGAGATACTGGGGATGCAGGAAATCTCCTAGGAGGAGTGGTGGGAGGTGGGGAGTTCATGAGAGTACAAGAGTACCAAGAGGTATGCATGAGGAGGCAGGCACCCCTCTATCAGCCTCTTGTTCCCCACTCTACCATAGCCCATTCTGTGCACTGACTGCCATTTGCTGATATTGCCACTCTAAAATTCATTGCTCAAGGCTTGCCTCAGTGTTCCCTTAATTCACATTTCATCAGCATAAACGTCAGACACATCCCACTGTGAGGTAAATAACTCCATCTCAAGGAGTTCTGAGGCATGGGTTCTGCTTTGAGGATATCCCAAATGTCACAATAGAGACTGGACTTTGTGTAATGTGGTCCACTTCCTCTGGACACAAAGGACCCCAGCAAGTGATGGTGCAGGAAAGTCCAATTTGTCTAGGTCATGAAGTGGGGTACAGGTGAGCAAAAATTGTCCCAAATCCAAATCCAAAGTTTCCCATCTCCCCTCCATGTTGCCCAGCTCTGGTGCCGTGTACACTGGTGTCTTGGTGCCTCCATTCACAAAAGCCTGTATGTGAACTCGCAGGTGGCTGGACTGAACGCTTTGCCTGGAGGTTAATAAGGAAGGAGCAGAAGCAGCCAGCAGAGAGCAGGCCCTTCCCCAGCTCTAACCTGGGGCCAAGCATGGACCATTCACAGGACTCATTCTGGCTCTAGCTCATCCTGTGACTCCAGACACCCAAACCCTTTCACTAGGGCATTTCCCAGGACATGACTCACCATTGCTGGCGATTTTAGAGATGCACTGATGACACGCCTTCTCCAGGCCGCCCGGCATTGTTCTTGCTCACTGGCAAAGTTATGGGGATAAAAATGAAAAAAATAATTCATTAGCAAGGTTGAGGGAAGGGTGTTCTAGCACCAGTGACTGTCTCTGGGCAGGTCTCTGGGGTATGCAGGGTTGCCTCAGTCAGCATGGGAGCCTGGGTGCCAGTGTCAGTGTGGGTCCACCTGCAGAGATGGCCTGGTTCTTGGGGCTCAGAGAAACATCTCATATTTCACAGCTGGGGAATGAAGCTGCTGGAAGTTAACAGGCTCATGATCATACTCAGCCAGGAAGACACAGAACTAGAGAGAGAGAAAAAAAAAAAAAACAGCTGTGGCTTACTACACAACCACTCCACGCCAGACATTGTATGGCCACTCTCATGTTTAGTCCCTGACAGTCCTCTAGTTTAACTCTATTTTATAGATGGAGCCTGGGAGGTTCATTTAGGTTCTGATTTGCCCTAAAGCCAGGGCTGACAACTGGCAGAGCCCAAATTTGATCCTCATATGTGGTCAGAGCTGGGGTCTTTCTCACTTCCTGACACATGTTCAACTTCTCTCCATTATAATGTCGCTCCCTGTGGACCTGAGGCTGAAGAGTCACCATGAACTTGACCGTGTATCAGCATGGAACCAAGACCTAAGTGCCACCCAGGTTTCACTGTGGATTTGCTGTCATCTGAGCAAGTTGTTTGACACTGGGAGAAAGGGATTCCCTTCCTTGGAAGAAATATCCATGAATTTAAAAACACACAACAAAAACCCAACCAATCAAGGCAGCAGATTTTCCTGCCCGGTAACATAAAGACATTAGAAGGGGCAATAGCGGGAGGAAGCGGGAGGGTTCTTTAATTCCTTCATGCTTGGTGCCTGGGTACCGGTAGTTCTACCATTTTCTACCATTTCATTGCTTTGAAATGAGGCCTCAGCGGGGCCTGGAAGCTCCAGGCGGAATCTGGGTGAACCTCCTGACTTCACTCACACAGCCTCTCCAGGAACTGTTCTGAAGGCATGTGGCTCCGTGGGAAAGCAGTCATTGTTCCTAGTATGGAGGAGGAGGTTTGCAAACCTGGCCACCAAAACCTGTGAGCAAAGCTGCCATTAGGGCCTCTGGGGACAGTGCGGGGTGAGGGTGGCAGCTGGAGAGGGGCCAGGCAGGGTTGGGCAGGATTGGTGGAGCAGATACAGAGGGGAGGAGGGTGATAGTAGCAGATGTGATTACCTCCACCGCCTGTCGTGGGCATGCACCTGCTAGCAGGAGGCCACCCTGGCAGGCAGCTCTTCTGGCAGCATGTCTCCTCTGTTAACTTGCAGGTGGCATGAGTTAGCTAGAGCTGTAGGCTCTGGTTTTTTTGTGTCCCATCCCTCTGCTTCTAGGATATTCTGTGCTCCATGCCGGCTCTGTACCTGCAGAGTCTCTGTCCCCCAGAGAGTGTGCTAGGAGGGGGCTGGTCCCCACAGAGGCAAATCACCATGCCCTGCCAAGGTCCTCCCCGTGTGGCCCTCGTTTAATCCTCCAGTGCCCTCAGAAGGCAGTTTTACAGAAAACAGAGATTCAGGTCAATTCATTTGCTCAAAGTCACACAGTAAAACTGGGGTTGGAAATTAGGCCCTAGGACTCCATTTATACTTCAAAGTCCATAATCTTTCCACCTGACACTAGAGCAGGAAAGGTTCCCAGAGCAGGTTGGGGACTCGGCAAGAGCATTGTGCCTTGTGGATTAGACCTGTAGCTGCCGGATCTTTTTTTTTTTTAGAGAGAGAGAATTACAATATTTATTTTTCCGTTTTTGGGGGACACAACATCTTTGTTTGTATGTGGTGCTAAGGATTGAACCCGGGCTGCACGCATGCCAGGCGAGCGCGCTACCGATTGAGCCACATCCCCAGCCCCAGCTGCCGGATCTTATTTAGCCAGGTAAGCATTATTATCCCCATTTACAGATGAGGAAACTGAGGGTCAGAAAAGTTAAGAACCTGCCCAAGATCACACAGCCAGACTGGATCTCAGGTGTCTTAAGAACTGCCAAACTTACTCTTTCATGATCAGACGGACAGTTTTCAATGCACTAAGATGACAGGACACAAAGCAGCAGAGCCGAACACAGAGGGACTTGCAGCCCTGATCCCCTACAACATGTCACACTAGGCCATTCCCAGTGGGCCCATGGCTGTTCTCCTGGAAGCAACTGTGGAGGGTGTGTGAGTCTTTGTCTTCTGGGCACATAGTAGGTCTTCAGCATATTTAATGAATAAGTCCACAAACTACGATTCAACTCTCCCTTCACAAAGCTCTATTTTTCCACCCCGCTGTGCAAAAACTGTCTCCATGGTGTCCTTGCCCACAGAAAATCAGCCTAACTGCAGTCCTGCGTAAACATCAGCCTCCCCTGTATGCTTTACTCGGCTTTCCACCCATCAAGGCGAAATTAGACCAGTTCTCTGGCCTAATGGGGTCAGCCAAGCACATGCCCTTTTGTTAACCAGGGCAGAGGCTGCAGTCATTGACAGGGGTGGGTGTGAATTACAGATTAACGGCTGGTGTCCACACTTAATGAGGTTGACTACCTCGGGAGTGCCACACTAGCAGAATCACTTGAAACTCCATCCAGAAGCACACCCTCCCATACTGGGTACAAACTCAGTTACCTACAGGAACAGGCAGGTTCCAGTCTGGCCCTAATCTGGGCTGCTAATGGTGACAAGGTTTTTATGTAAAGAAGAGAGGAATCTTGTGTTACAGCACAGAGATTTCCCCTCTCCATGCCCAGATGGAGCAATGTCTGGGGCAGGTCTGAGGTGGTGAAGAGAAGCCGCACTCACTCTGTCTCTGGCCACATCACAGAAAAAGTCCCCAGTCCCTAGCACCACTCTTCTTAAGTGTCAGCCCAGATGTGCAGCACCTCCTCTCTCAGGCAGCCCTCTTGGAGTTTACAACTGGGGAGCTCTGACCACACGGGCCTGGGTATCATGGACGCAGCAAGCAACAAACATTGAGAAGCTGGTGGAATGTTCTTCTCTCGGGTTGGTGTGGACTTCACATCTTCTAGCCACAGGTTACAACATGCTCCTCAGGTCACAGAAGGAAAACAACACCGGGAGGGGAAACAGGGCAGACCTGGCTCTCGTGCAGTTGAGATGACACTGTTTACAAACTATCTTTGAAACATGGGGAATGGTTTCTATCGTACCCTCAACCCAAGGCACCCCGGTCTCTAAATCCACAGCAGCTTGGTGGAGACTGCCTGTGTCATGATATAACAATCCAAACTGTTAGCACAAGGAGACTGGGCAGGACAAACTTCATAGATCATTTCAGCCTTTATTCAGGAACCGGACTACATCTACAGGAATGGACCCACTTTCCTGGTGGAAAATGAGCCGCTGAAGTAAGAAAAGGACTGGGCTTATCTGGGTCATCCTGAGAGGTGACTTAATGAATGAGCGTGTCAGCTTGGGCACTCAGGAATTTGGAGTCTGTTTTCCTGGGTGAAATGGGAGGGAGTCTGGCATTGAAGGTCAGTCTCAGGGATTTATCTTACTGGGCTGGATGGAGGGCCTGGGGTCAGTGGTTGGAGTCTGGAGAGTGTTTGTTTAGGGAAGGATTTAATGCTTTAGCCCCTTCCCAGAGATTGCCGTTCTAGGTTTGATGGACACCTCCTCCCCAAGGTTAGTTTTATCACTGGGAAAGAATGTACTGGGAAAGGATCAGTGCCTCCAATTTATGGCTTTCTTTCTCACTCCCCTTTTCTCAGGCCTCATTATTTTGGGGCTTGTCATTTCCCATATCTAATGCGAACATTTGTGCTTTGGCCCTTTAAGGGGGCCCAAGCTCCAGTTTTCTGAGAATCTTGAAGAATGATGTCAAACTACAAAAAGTAATGAAAGGCTGAGTGTAGATTTTTTTTTTTATTTCAAGTATCTCAAATTGATAGCTCTCTTTGGCCCCTAACTGCAAATAATGGTAGAAACATTACTTTATAAAGCAAAACAAACAATGACAAAAAAAAGGTGTACTTATTGGGATTAATGTTAGACTAGATTCATTTTATAAAATGAAACAGTTCTTATTCCTTCAAACTCTTTATTTTCCTAAACTGACAAGATGGATGAGAACTAAGAAAAGAACGATGTGCTGTTAATCCTGTCACGCCTTAAAGACTGTTCCTGAAGAGACAGGGAGCTGTGACGACGGCACTGAGCTTTGGCACCCAGCTGGAAAGGGAACACGGAATCCCCACCAAGAGCCCCAGACACTGGCCATCAAACTCCGTGTACTGTGTCCAGCTTCCCTTACAAGGAATGTCACTAAACCAACTTCGAGGTGTCATTTCCCACCTTCTATTGTCAAAGATCCAATGGTTCAGTGTTTTAAAAGAGGAAGGGACAAAGCGAAGGGTACCCTGTCTGTGAGAACATAAATGGGTGACACTTTCTTCGAGGGCAATTCGGCACAACCCATCACAATCATGCTAGGCAGGGTGTTTTGTGTTATATACCCACACACAACTTCATTCATGTGATAATGTCTACATGTTTGTGTCAATGCATAGGAAACATCAGAAGCACACTCACCAAACCTCAGTTGATGATCCTTCCCTGTGGAGACAGGTACAGGGAAAGGGGCCTTCGAGGATAGGGTATTTGGAACGTTTTAGAGGCAGGCATGGAAAATATTTTTATTTCCATTCTATCTCCTAGTATTGCCTGACTTTTGCTCCTCCCCCAACATGAGCATTTATAATTTAAATGAGGGGGTGGGGACATGTAGCTCAGTGGTAGAACTTTTCATAGTGTGTATGAGGCCCTGGGTCTGAGCCCCAATACTACAAAAACAAACCAAACAAAAACAAAACAACAACAACAACAAAAAAAGCCCCAACCCTTTTTATTTAAACCCTCCTAAAGTTCAAGAAGAATTATTCAAAAAAAAAAAGAAGTTTAATTGTTTTCCAAAATTCCAGAGCTAAAAAAAAAAAAAAAAGTAGCATATTAGGAGGATAAGTAAGGGGAAAGTCTCCCTAAGAGCAGAAATCAAAAGAGAGATGATGTGATGATTGACGGTGCGGAACTGTTTCTCTTTGGGAATATTTTCTTTAAAATTTTCAAAGTAAATTAGCAAAAAAAAAAAAAAAATTCTCATGATAAACAACTGCAGCCTCCTAGCTCAACAACTGTTAGTGGTTTGGTGCTTATCTTTCAAGGATGCACATATTTGGAGTAGCTCAGTGCTGGTGCACTTGTCTAGCAGGTGTGAGGGTTCTATCCCTAGTACTGAGAAGGAAACCCCACATATGTATGCGCATATGCAGACATACACTCATTTTAGAGAGTTGCAATCATCAGGCATTAGGCACATTAAATTAACTCTTCACATTTTGACATAAAAGGGTTTTTGTTGTTGTTGTTGTTGTTACCATAGTGTCTTCATAGCTATCATTTTAACAGATGCATCATATTCCACAATATAGGTCATTTATCTACCCATGGCTGTATCTCATTGGATACTTACTTATCATTTGTCACTATTATGATTACATTCCCAAAGGAAATCTCTTTTTTCATGAAAATTGCTTTCTTTTATACATTACATAACTCCTTTAGAATAATTAGATGTAGGATTATTGAATTAAAAGTGTGAATAATTTTTTTGAGAAAAGATTGCTTTCCAAAGCAGTCGTATCAGTCACAGTACTACCAGTTACACACAAGAATGCCAGGTTTACCACACCTTTGCTGGTATTGGGTATTGCCAAGCATATGATTACTTTTATAGACAAAACCAGAATGTATTTGCTAATTTAATTTACATTTTTGATTTCCAGTGACGTCGTCATTCATTTATGCTTATTTCCTGGTTGTATATTTCCTTTATGAATTATTTTCATGTCCTTTGCTATGGATTTATTTCAATTCAAAGCTAGAACAAGTATCTTTTGAGTGCTTAAGTCCATCAAAAAAGTTGCAACTGGAAAGAATAGCAGAAATCTGTTTGTTTTTTTTTAATTTAGAGAACACACTGTGTAAATTTATAGATCCAAAATATGCTATGAAAGACCTATTCACTGTGATGGTGGGAACTTTAAAAATTCATAAGGCTCAGCCACATGCAGCACCAGTCTTTTCAACTGGAACTTCTTCTAAGCGAGTGTGAGTCCCTCCAAAACCGGAGATGCTTCATAGAGTGGACCTAGGCTAGTGATGGTGAAAATGACACCGACTTGGCAATTTCTATACAAAAATGAACATTTTTCTTTATTTGGTAGGAAATTTCTTATCTGATAGAAATCTGAAACAGGAAGATTGGGGTAGACGGCTGACAGTGTCTTCTCTTCAGTGTAAACAAGCAGTGACTCAGAGGTCTGTCCTGTGCGTGACTGTGATTAGATCGTGTGTCTCACGCTTGCTTCTACATCAGTGAGCATAGCAATGGTAACCCCTGTTGCTTCCTCTCCAAGAAGCGGAGTGACAGTGAAGGGCACGAAGGAATTAACTGATCATAATTACTAAGTGTCATTCTCAACACACTTCCAATTTTCAATCTAAGTGGTATATCTCAGTGCTTCTCAACCAGGGGGAATTTGTCCCCAGAGGACATTTACAATGTCTGGAGACATTGTAACAGATGGGGTGGGGGCTGTGGATAGAGAAGAGAGATGCCATTAAATACCCTACAAGGAACAGGGCAGTCTCCCACAACAAGAAATTAATAATCTAGTCTGAAATGTCAGTAGTGCTGAGTCTGAGAAATCCCTTTATAGCTGACTACCATTTCTAGTCTTAGCATTCAAATCTATAAAATACAATTTTATCTTAAACTTTCAATCATGTTATTAAATCAATATGGAGCTTGTATGTATAGATGGTTAAATTTTTGACATTTAGCATCAGGTCAGTATTTAGCATTAGTGATTTTTCGCCCTCAAGTTCCAACCTGAATCAAGAACACATCTTTGCCCTGGTGATTATGTTTGGAGTGATGAGCTAAGTAAACTAAATTGTTTACTCCTAAATTCAATGTGAGGATGACCCCAACTTATTGTTCGATTTTGGATAACACTGACTATTAAACATTAACCATCTTGATACCTGTTTCTCCAAAGGTGGATGTTAACAGGTGTCACTGGATATTTCCAGCAGTGTTTTGGGCATTCAGGACACGATCCTTTCTTTCCTGGAGCTCTCTATGTATCCTGTGCTGTTTCCTTAGCAGAAGTCAGTGGAGGTTATTATACACCTACTGCGTGTCAGAGTGATTCAACCCTCTCCCAGGATCCCTTCACTGTTTGTTTCCTATTTAATGAAAATGCACTTCCTTTGAGCTCTACCACACTTTTTAAACCATCAGGTCAAAGCCAACTGCTCAGAGATCCACCAGGTAAGACGTGGAGGTGATTTCTGTGGTCCCCAACTCTGGCCCTGTACTTACCAAGTGGTTTCTAACCAGCCAGCATAACTCACTTTTGACCTTGAGTTCCTGTTCCTTTACAATGGTTCTCTCCACAAAAAAACAAAAACAAAAACAAAAATTTCCCTTAGATTCACTGAAGATTTAAGGTTTTCTTTCCCTGCACACAACTAAGAAAAGCACTTCCACAATGCTGTCATTTTCTTTCCAGGAAGCATTAATCAGCATGCTGTCATCTTCCTATGAAGATTGCCCAGAGACCCTGTGCTAGGACTGTCTCTCCAACTTTAAAGGCTGCACGGGGCTGTTGGGACCACTCACCTGTAAGCTGAGCAGAGTCAGATCCAGAGCTGGGCGCTGGGTCTCCTTGGTCCAGGGCTAATTTGTGGGGCTCCTCTTCACTTGCAGCTCCCCCTTTCTCCCACCCTTGCTTTCTTTCTCGCTTCGGATTTCTCTCCTGAAGCATGACAGTAACTCGTGCCTTTTCCTCTAAGGGGCGGATGATCTGTCTTACCCACTCCCACGTGTGGGGAGAGCACCCCACTCTCCGCGCCGACAGCTTTCATACCCTGCGGTATCTCCCGGAGCCGCCAGGGGGCAGCAGAGCCACCCCGGGAGGCTGTCCAAAGCCCGCCCGGAGCCTGGAGGGGGCTCTGCGCTGGAAACATTTCCATAGGGTACGGTCGGGGGCTTTAAGGGTGGTGCACGTCTTCTCGTTGCTCTCTCTGTGTGTTGATGGCACATGGAGGGAATGAACTGAACAGGGACCGATTAGTAAATAGGGTGAGCTACTCAAAGTGGGGGTTAGACCATGTTAGCTGCCTTACGTACTTGAGAACTGCCATATAAAAAGTCCCTGCCATTCCAGACCAAGAGTGAAGTCCTGCAGAGGCAGAATTGTGCCCAGGAGAAGGAACTTTCTAACAGCTGCCATCTTAGACCAGAAACAGGCTGCTTTGTGAGACCGCGTGTTGCCTGTCCTGGAGGAGCACCAAGTAGGGAGAGTTTTCAGCTGCTGATTTCAAAGAAGTGCCACAAACCCTTTATTAAGATGCACATTCCTGCCCTGCCTCCCAAAGATTCTGAAAGTATGGTCCTGGGCTTGGGCCCAAGAATCTGCATTGTAGACCTTGCTAAGTCTCTGGTGGATGCTCCATGGATCACACTTAGAGAAACAGTGGAATCAGACAACAGTAAAAGCATCTTCGAACAATGACTTTTTATGGCAAAAACCGTTTCCAGGGTATGGGACTAGGGTGAGGCTAGAGAGGCACCTTTTGCACACAATGTAAGGAGCTGCTCCTTCTGAAGGCTACCCCTGCCCTTGCAAGTCCCTGGGAGTGATACCTCCTTAAATCTTGTGCCCAAGCCCCTCCTTTGGCTCACTGTAGTCCTGGTCCTGCCTGTCTCCCAGCCCTGAATCCAAGCTGACCACCTTACACCACATGGTAGTGCAAGGCAGAAAGCAAGAGGGGAGAGGACCTGTTGGAGGAAAAAAGTTAGAGATGCTCATGAATCTCTAAGGTTTGGCCACAGTGCTGGCAGTGGGGCAGAGTCGTAGGGATTTTTTAAGATATTGAAGTTTGGGAACACAATAACTAAAAGTCCAAACTTTTGAAGGTGTTTTAGCTGAGGGGTCAGAATGGACAAAATTCCAGGTGATGGGGTAGTCTTCCTGAGAAATCACCAACTGGAGGTCACTCAGTAACTGTTCCAGAAGCTGCAAAACATCCAATACTATTTTTTCCCAAACCACACAACTGCTTTTGTTAAGTACAGAAATGGGGGCAAGGTAGGCCAGAGTTTTGAAAAAGCAGGAATCTTTGGGATAGTAATTATGAGATTCCAAAACTAAATGATAGACATAATAATAATAACAATAACAACTGTATCGTTTAAGAGAGCAGAGGGAAAATTGACATGGAAAATTAGTTACAAAAGCCATGGGGGAAGTCAGGTGTGATGGCACATGCCTGTAATCCCAGTGATCTGGGGAGGCTGAGACAGGAGGATTGCAAATTCAAGGCCAGTTTCAGCCACCTACTGAGACCCTAAGCAACTTAGTGAGACCCGTCTCAATGATGATGAGAAAATTGCTATTGAAATGCTACCCAAAGCAAGGTAGGTGCTACAAATAAATACCCCATCTCACAGATGAGTAGCACAGATGAGTAGACAGACCAAGAAATCACCCAAGGTCTGATGTTAATCATGCCATAATTTTTTTGTGTGTGTCACAGGATCATACCAAGAGCCTCACTAAGTTGCTGAGTCTGGCTTCGAACTTGTAATCCTCCTGCCTCAGACTCCAGAATTGCTGGGCTTAAGGTGTGTGTCACCACATCCAGCTAATAAATTTAAACTCAGGCAATGGGATGCAGAGTCCTTGCTCTGAAACTCTACACTTATTGCCATGTGAATAAAGAACACATTGGAGAAAATAATAGTAGAACTGAATGATAGTTGAATTCCATACATAAATTTGATTATGCATGATGTTGGTTGAGGTGGCTGTTTTAATCAGCTTTGCGTTGCTGTGGCCAAAAGAACTGACAAGAATAACTGAGAGGAGGAAAAGTTTATTTTGGCTCACAGTTTCAAAGCTTCAGTTCACAGTCAGCTGACTCCATAGCTGTGGGCCTGAGGTGGATCACAACAGAAGAAAGTTTCTCAGTCCATGATGCCCCAGAAGCAGAGTTTGAGTACAAGAATCCAGGGATCATATAACCAATCCCCAAGGACAATGCAGCCAGTGACCTACTTTCTCCATCCATATCCTACCTGCCTACAGTTACCACCCAGTAATCCATTCAAATTATTAATCCATCAGATGGATTAATCCACTAACTGCAGCTCTCACCATCTAATCATTTTACCACTGAACATGCCTGCGTTGTCTCACACGTGAGATTTTGGGTGACACTTCGTATCCAAATTCTAATAGTGGCCTTGCTGGTGTATGTGAGTTTGTCCATTAGTTGAACAAATACCGATTACTTCCAGACACCATGAGTAAAAGGATTAGCCCATAAAGCCCAATGTATCCCATGAGGAATTTTAATTCAAAAGAATAATGAGTTAATGAGTTTTATGGTTTAAATATGAGGTGTCTCCCAAAAGATCATGGGTGAGACAATGCAGGAAAGTCTAGAGGTGAAATGAGGGGGTTATAAGAGCCTTAACTTAATCAGTGCATTAATCCACTTGAATGGATTAACTGACTTATAACTCAAGGCAGCCAGGGTGTGGCTGGAGGACATAGATCACGGGAGGCGTGTTTTGGGGGTTGTATATTTTGTCCCTGGTGAGTGGAACACTCTCTGTTTCCTGATTGCCATGTGCTGAGCTGCTTTCCTCTGCCAAACCCTTTCACCATGATGTTTTCTGCCTCATCTTGGGCCCAGAGCAACAATCAGACGTCTATGGACTGAGACCTCTGAAACTGTGAGCACCAAATAAAACTTTCCTCCTCTAAAGTTGTTATTGTCAGGTCTTTTGGTCACAGTGACAAAAAACAAAAACAAAAACAAAACAAAACAAAATGGAAACAATGAGCATATGCCTGAGTTTGATTACAAAGGAGTCAGTCAATGGAGGTGTGCCTGACGTTTTGACAGAAGCCATAGAAATGAAGGCAGTTTTTAAAGTTAGCCAAAGGCCACGTCAAACACCCCCGAGGAGAAAGATTCTAAAGTCTAACTTCATTCTCTCCTCTTTATTTTTTTTTCATCAAATCATCTGTAAGTAATGTTGCTCTCACCCTTCCTTCCTAATATTCATACCTCTTATTCTATTTCCTTGTCAAATGCACTGTTTACAGAGTCTTTTGTAAACCAAACACTTTGTTCTTAATTTTAATGTTCTCAGGTTTGTTATCTTTAAAAATACTTAAAACCCTGGCCAGTTGGCAGGGCACGGTGGCACACGCCCATAATCCCAGCGCCTCGAGTTCACAGCCAGACTCAGCAAAAGTGAGGTGCTATGAAACTCAGTGAGACCCTGTCTCTAAATAAAATGTAAAATAGGGCTGGGGATGTGGCTCAGCGGTCGAGTGTTCCTGACTTCCAGGGGGTACCCCCCACCAAAAAAAAAAAAAAAAAGAACCTGGTTAGTCAGAATGGAGGGAACAATCCGAACAGATGCCCACTATAGACAATAAAGCCAAATCAGAGTGCAACACAGGCATAGAATAAACCCCAATTGTTTTTTAGCATCAAACATGATGATGTTTGCTGCTTTGTAATAAATTTAAAATGATATTTTAACTCTTATTTTCGAAGAATTTTTTCTCAAAATAGAGCCAAAGCTCCACCTAAGCTGGATGCAGCCTTTCTATTCCGACACTGCCAATCATGGCTCCGCAGTCACCTGTCCCCATCCCAGTCCTTCGGGCTGTCCAGAGTAACAGGATGCAGTCCACTCAAATGGGACAGGGGCCTCTGGACCTGATTCCTGTGGCCCCCACATCCTTCTTATGCACTGGAACCTTCTCCCTAGTAACCTGGAAAGGCACCTGCTTCTGGGGCCTGGAGCACACATCCTTTCTGAAGTCTTCCCTAACCTTTCCTGCGCCCTGAGCACCTCCACTCAAGAAAAAATCAGCCCCTGTTCACCCCAGGTTACCCCGGGAACACTTCCTGTATGCCCTTTCTTCCACGCTACATTTGTGTTTCGCTCTTTGCTTTTTGTCTCCATTTGTGGGCCGTGAGCTCCTGTCCTCAACACCAGGCCCAGGGCTTGCTGCTTCATTTGTATCCAATTAACATTTTTGAATGAATGAGTGAAACCAAGAGGAGTGAATCTCACTCTGAGTGTGACCACTGATCACGTAAAGCTGATATAATTTTTAGAATGATAAATGGATGCGTTTTCATTTCTTTTAACTAATGATGCCAGAAAAGAGCAAGTATCACTGTCCTGATTATCTGTGCCAAGAAAAGTGCCTACAGAAGCAGCGGCCATCTATTGGGAGCTCTCAGTTCTGGAGGCTGAGAGGGCCCAGCTGGAGTCTCTCAGATCCTTCATAGGAACCATTCGCAGGCAGTTGGTGGCTGGGGCTGCAGTCATTGGAAAAGCATCCTCACTTGAGAGGCTTATGATTTCTGGTTGACTCACCCTTTGGGGTGTTCACCTAGCTGCTGGATGCACACGGTGGCCTGATTCCTCCATCAAACAACGATACATTTTGCTTAAAAATGGAGCAAAATCTATGTGATATTATTTGGGGGACAATATAAATGTCTAGTTCTCCATCAACCATTCATCTAGTGCTTTTAAAATCAGTGAGTTGCCGGGCACTGTGGCACACATTATCTATAATCCCAGATATTCAGGAGGCTGAGACAGGAGGATTGCAAGTTCAAGGCCAGCCTCAGCCTCATAGTGAGAAT